AACGGAGAGTCTCCAGACTGATCTGCGAGTGAAACCTTGAAAGCTCGCGAGATCAGGATGGTCTCACGAGGCTAGGCAAGCTTTAGGTATAAAGAAATACTGACTACTGAGGTGTATGTTTTTTTGCTCACCTGTGCCAGGGCTGACCCACAAACCGGGCCAATAAGAAACCCATACTGAAGGCAATGAAGGGATAGATGGTTCCAATGATCCATAAGGAGGGAGAAATGACCCAGGAGGATTGGTAGAGGACGCCTCCCACCACCGCTATGATGATAATGAGAGCAAACCCAGCGATAGAACCAACCTGTGAAAATGGGCACAAAAATACTTCACTTACTTTCTGTCTATGGCTTCTTATTGCTCAACAGCTTGTAAAAAAAAATAATCTAAAGCATTTTTACCTTGAGGATCTTTTTTGCAATACGAGGCCACTTGGTTTTTACATAAATCCCCACTGCTATTGGTATAAGAAGTGCTGCAAGAGTGATTCCTGAGCAGGCAAAGATAAAATGTGAGTTAATGAGCTGTCATTTTTCAAAATTAAAAAACAAAACAAACAAACAAACACAAATAATCAGTGCATCCTAAAGGATTCCAGTTTATTCAAAATAATTCCTCCTATGTAAGAACAAAGACAATAGATTTGTTTGTTTACCAATGCTGTCAAAGGGAATCTTTATGGCGTCGCTGGAAGTCCAGGCGCTGGTGTAGATGAACAGACAGAGCGGCATCATGCCCAAGGCCAAGATGGAGGAGCAGGCGGTCATACTGATGCTGCAGGGAAAAAATAGCTCAATTTACATCACCTGAGCCTATGAGAATGTTTGAGACTAGTAAGTTACACAGAAAAGGATCAACTCAGGAGTTAACAGACAAAATGTTTCTTATTTTGGGAAAAAATTCCCAAAAAAGTAAAAAAAAAAAACACAATCCACTGGACCTTTTTTCCAAGTTTGAAGACGTTTTGCTTCCAGGAATTCCTTTTAAAAATTTTTTAATTAAAAATGTCAGAAATAGCTTTGAGTTTGAGCCTTTATTGAGTGGACCAAAACCCCGAAAAGTGCACATGTGCAGAAAAGTAAAAAATTTTGAGTTGAACCGGACATTAGGGTCACGGGTTGTTAGAGTTCTTCGTTCCCAAGGGGCCGACCCGTTTGTCTGGTACAGTTTGCATGTTTTCTAAGCCTAAGCAAGTATTTGGTCCACTCTATAAAATCTGGAACTCAACGCTATTTCTGACATTTTGAATTGAAAAAGCTTCCTGGATGGGAAATTAAACGTCTTTAAACTTGGAAACAAAGACCAAAACTATCTTTTTTTTTACTTTTTTTGGAATGACCATTACCTTGATGACTGAGAATCTTCACAAGGATTTGGGAATTAATCAAAAATAAATCAAGAACCAAGACGCTTTTTTCTATCAACTGAATGTTTTCAGAGAAAACGATTGGAAGCAAAGTTTCAACCCTTCTCCTGTTTGGTAAAAGGCACACTGTAGGACAGTTGTTGCTGACTACTGCTGTCCTGACGTGTATACTACTTAGATTTTTGAAACATATGAAAAATTTAAATTTCATAATTATCACCCAGAAATGTTGGACACCTTGAGAGGTGCTAAGATGATCAATGGGACAGACTAAAACCCAAGACGTCATATGGTTCTGAAGTTTTCATCAAGGGTAAATGGAATGGCTTTTGGTGCACAAGTTTCCCCATGTGCTCCCATCAGCCACACAAATGCGTCGCCACAAAGAAAATTTCATTTTAAAGGTACCCTTCAAATTCAAAGTGCTGTGCTTAAGTACAAAGCCCAAAGAAAAGTACCTTGAAGCGGAGTAATAGGGGCATGTGAAAAATGTTGGTCTAAAGGCTTAAACTGGTGTTGTTTCAGTAAAAATCTCAAATACTACAGTTAAAGATTACTCTAAACAAGTGTTTTTTTTATATTTTACCCTGGAATTTGTTCTAAATTAGTCTACCATATGAAATAAAAGCTGTCTCTCCATGTTTGGTTCTGGCTGTTGGTATTAAGAGTAGACTTATGCCAGAAGACATAAATGAGGTGTTTGTAAAGTTCATACACTGACAACAAATTTGTCATTTCATTTGGAGCTAAGCCATCCGGTGGTTTATGGATTAACGGTATCCTTTTAAAATCTTCCTGACACACAGAGTCAGTGTAAAGCCTTTAGATCTGGGGTGATGTGCTCCACTTTTTACATTTTAATGGGGAAGCAGGCAGATTCTGGATCGGCAGCCTGATACACTTCCAGGCGAAGACATTCCTGCAGCTATTTATTCAACTACAGATAAACAAATAAATTAGTTTTTCCAGATCCTCCTGACACATTAGTCCTTTAATCCCAGAAATGTTCTTCAGATGATGGCTAAATCTGTTACGGTCTCTAAAGGTAAGATCTGAATCCATCACTACACCCAGATTTCTGGGCCTGATAAATGTTTTTTAGCTGTAGTAACTGAATGGAAAGAAAAATCATTTTATCTTTTAAAATGTTAAAGCTACAGTGTGTAATTTTCAGCGACATCTAACGTCCAGACTGCAGACCGCAGCAACATGAACATCTCCCCCCCACCGCTTCTCCCCCCCAACAGTACGGCGAGCGTTACGGGACAAAATGTCTTCCACGACGTCCGCATCACCTACCTTCTCAAGTGATGAGGTTTGTTTACATAGATAATTTTTACAGATAGTATTTCATTAGTCTGTGTAGGGTATAGATTTCAGTACCGTCTCAGTTCATCTCTCTCAACTTGCCGTAGTTACTTTTGAGCGTAATGGGCGATCTCGCAATCGCTAGTTTGTTGGCTCTGCGCTGTCGTAGCGCAAAGATGTCTGCCTCCATGGCTGCGAGACCCGCTCCTATGTAATTATAAATAACGAATTCTAAGGCAACGCAAATATTAAGGTTAAGAGGCTGAGCTCGTAGATGATGATAAATAACATAGTTATGTATAATATATTACATTTCTGACTGTATATCCCTGTAATTATTACACACTGTAGCTTTAAGGGAATGAAATTCAAGAAACAAGACCAAGCAAGAAACCCAACGAAATAGTGATCATCAAACCAGCCTAACCATCTTACCTCAGATCCATGTCTCCATCCAGCCAGAAGCAGATGATGTTTGAACTGGTTCCTCCAGGACAGCAACCCATAATGATGACAACGATGGCCTGCACAGGGAGAACCCCAAAAGCAAGAGAAAGCGCAAAGGCAGTGAAGGGCATGATGCCGAACTGGCAGAGGAAGCCGATGACGATTCCCCAGGGTCTCTTGATGTGCCCCAATAACTTGTGGGCATCCACGGTGCAGCCCATGGCAAACATGACAAAGGCCAGCATGGTTGTGAGCACGATGCTCAACACCGTGCTAAGGATGGCATTAAAGTTACTTGGAGGAACCAGGCAGTCTGTACCTGAGCAGACTGTGGCGGAGGAATGACATGCTTCCATAGGTACAGCGTTTAGTGTCATTGTGAAAACTGGATGGAAGAAGATTCAATTCTTAGATTCCACAAGAATATTCCAGAGTGTCCCTTTGTCCTGGTCCAGGTGATGATGGTGACAGTGGGGGAAAGTAACCCGCTCTCTGCTCTTTATGCCCACATCGCTGCATTGAGTAAGAAAAGATAAAAGATAAAAAATTAACCGATACTTAATGTTTTTATGGGGTCAGTGTTCAGAGAATGGTGGATATAAAACGAAAATCCTCTGAATCATGGAATGTGATTGCACTGGTTGCAACTTTTTACGGCCTCTGGGTAATTAAAACTTTATTGGGCAGCTTTGCTGTACAGCAGCATCATTGTCCTGCACTGCCAGGAACCAAGGAAGATGCTTGCTCATTTTAACGAGAAGGGCTTGTACGTTTTTGTGCATTTTACATAATCATGCTCAAATGTTGTTTTTTTAACCTTAATATTTATGGCTGGTTAGGTGAGCAATTATGATCTTGTAATATCCATGTCATTCACATTGAGAAAAAAGCTCAAAGTCTATAAAATTTTAAAAAGAAACTTTGCTTCTTCTCATGTATTTTCTACTGGTTGACTTGAGGGTTTTGTCTATTTTTTAAGCACTTTGGTGACTGACTTGGTTTATCAAATATCAACATAGGGGAATTGGAGAAAAGATAGTGACTGTTTTCATTATAAAACATTTGAAATTTGAATGGAGCAATTTTTTATCCAATTTATTCAATTCAGTTTATTTCTATGGCACCAAATCACAATAAATGTCATCTCAAGACACTTTATTGAGATATTTCAATCATATTATACAGTCAGACTGGTTGGAAGTTTTCTATCTAAGAAACAACAAGAAGTGCAAGATGAGTGCAGCGTGTTAACTTTAGAAATATCCCTCACAAGGACCCTCTTAACCCTATAATGCCAAATGTATCGTATTTGATACATACGGTTCCTGAAACAGAGGGCAGAAGACTACACAAAAAATAATCTTGACTTATCGCATAGTAATAAATTATTAATATCAAAAATGTATTTCTGTTTTTTCTTTTTACATATTTTGTTAAAAGGCCAAATAAGGAATTCAAACCAAAAAAAAAGTAATTTTCTGTTATGTTTCATTCTTGGATCGGGCTTTAAAGGGTCAAGCACTTTAATTGGGTCCTTAAAGGTACCAATAGGAAATGTGTTAACTGTTGTGTTAGAAGTAAAAAAATACATAGAAACCTGTAGCTGGGTCTTTATGAGTAGGCTGTTCCACATTGTTGTAAAATCACATAAAACATTTTATAAGATTCCTAAAAAAACCATAAAAAATGTCCTCGGAGGACGATGACATTTTGCTGATTATAACCAGCCTTGCTTGGGGCTCCATAACTCAGCTGAGCTCTAGAGCGTACAGTCCATTCCAGTTTAAAGGTGTCCCAGAGAATCAAAGTGAACTGGAAAGATTTTAGACTGCAGCTGGATGAGCACCCTAAAATACAACTGAAAGGGGCGTACTTTCACCATTTTCTATCTGGATTTTAAGCCATAAAATATTATTATTTTTTAAAGAAATAAGCAGTCATAATTACCAAATGTTAAAAGAGAAAACATTTTTTTATACCCAGAAAATGTAATCTAGAAGTTAAAATAGATCAATAAAATAAAGCCTGTCATATGATCATTTTCAATCCAGGTAAACAAAAAAATAAATCTGCCCTTCAGAATACTTCAGAGTTAGTTCCAACATGCCGTGACCACATATGGCTGATGACAAATCTATGAGTCAAACATCTGTAAATCTCTGAAGCTTTATCTGAAGGGGTGTGCAGAACAATTATACGGATGTTTATGAATGTTTTCATTGAGTATTTTATGGTAAATTATGACATTTTAAAGAAAAG